TGTTAAGCTCCTCATTAAAGCAAGCTAATTAGGCATCCATTGAGCGGTTTTAAATGAACCCTACCTCGCAACCCAACCCCCGACCTCCACCCCAACCATCCGAAGCATTTGTTCCAGCTCGGGCTCCGCCATCAGACTTGTGATGCAAGATTAGTTATGACTTAGCGCTGACGACAAACATATTGTTCCGACTAATGCACTGAGACCACGCCAATAGATCGTGGGCCCTAATCACCTGAACCCTGCCGAGAGAGAAGCGGCAGGGGTCCTGTCATGTAAAGAAAATAAATAAAAAAAACACCCAGTGTGGGCTCCCCCTCTATAGGGCCTGCGTTCCATCATAAAAGAAAAAGCATCTGCTCGAGCGATGCTTGAAAGGCCCATCACGAAGTTCGACAGACAGCCCGATGGCGTTAGCGGCGCAACGCCAAGGAATGGAGCTGCATTGTGGACGGAAATAAGCCATGCGGTTGTTTTAAAACAGGCGACGTGTAATTCTCTTTCTTTTTTGGTATCAGTTTTCACCAAGTGTATCTGCCAAACTGCTGCTTGTCGGGAAGTGATTTGAGTCACTGCTGACATTACAACGCTTGCATCTCAAAGTCGATGCTCTCAAGACAAAGCAAAACAAACAAAAATAATCGGTCAAAAGATGGCTCGGATGTGGGAAAAAAAAAAGAGAATCAAAAGTTGAGTCATTTCGATCTCCAGGCAGCACCATACTTCATACGGTTTGAAGAAAAAAATTGGTATTGGTGCTTTACTAAGCACATTAAAAGGTCTTGTCTTCTGATACCGTCAACGTGTGATAATGAGACAGTGAGGCAAAGTGGCACAAAAGGAGTTGCTACCATCTCACTGGAACACGTGGCCAACTGGAGGGCTTGTGTGTGTGTGTGTGGGGGGGGGGGTAATAAAATGCAGCTTTCTATAGGTTCCAAGTGTAGCATATGAAGAAGTGGCTCCAGTCGAAATAATTTGATCACCGATTGCGTCAGCAGGTGCCGAAAGATGTCATCGCTGGCGACGGGAGGAAGCCTTGCCAAAAAGTCTCAGTTTTACAGAAAAAAACAAACAAACAAACAACAACGGCATGTTTGTTGAGCCAATAAGGTTGCATTGTCAAAGACAGACAGCCGTTTTCAATGCCAGCATTATGCATACAAGAAGGTATAATGTAGGGTGTCATATAGCTAGACGTGATTTCATAACTCTGAAAGGTTTATGGGGTCAGTGAGAGGAAGTTTTTAATGGGGAACATTAAACAGAGTGTGACTTTTTTTTTTTTTTAAATACACCTCAAAGGGGAAAAAAAATTGTATTTGAAGAGGACCAAACCAGGTTGAGCGCTGACCGCAAGAGGAATGACATAAGTCACCGTTTGTCTGGCCTGCACCTTCCAGCACCGCTTTCCTTTGGCACAAGGTGAATGACCTACAGTCAGCGTCGGCGAGTCCAAGAGGAGGAGGAGGAAGAGAGCTGAGGGGCTAAGAAAGGCGAGAAAACCAAATTTCATAAAAGAGGAAAAAGAGAAGGACGACTTTGGCTCAGCCTGTCACCAGTGCAGATTAAAAACGTGCAGGAGCCAAAAAGCATGTCCAAATCAACTCATAAATGCTGAAGCGGACGGAATTGCGTTTGCTGTAATGCACAGGTGTCAAACTAAAGGCGCGGGGGCCAAATCTGGCCCGCCACATCTCTTTATGTGGCCGGCGAAAGCAAATTACGAGCAAAATTGCAGTTTGTCTTCACTTTTAAAAATGCGGAAATATTTCAAGCATGTTTTGTTCCCAATCCCTCTTTTAAAATCAATGTAATATTTGAGCAGCTTTTACTGACGCCTGAATTCAAAACTAGTTCCTCACCAGTTTTGTCGTGTTTATGAAATAGGAGGCGATCATATTTTATTTGGTTTCACAGTCATAATGGCTCTCTGACGGAAACCATAACGACATTGTGACCCTAGACAAAAATGAATTTGACACCCCTGCTGTGATGCCTCATTTTGCTCATCTGATCATTGACGTCATTGATCGATGGACAAATTAGGACGTTAGGGCCGATCACCTATTTTGCATAAAACGCTAACCATCTGCCGATGCGATCCAGCTGATCGGATCCGTGTCAAATCTAGTTGTTGTGATGACAAAACCAAAAATGTTTTGCACACATGTGTCGGTTTGCACATATTACGCATAAAAATAGAAACAAAAGCTATCATCGATTCGTACACTCAAAGTTACTTAAAAAGGGTTTTGTGCATCTCTACAAAATGCCACCACAACATTTTTTTGGTCTATTTTCCTGCAGGTCACTTTGACAAAAACATGCTGACAAGGTTGCTGTCATGCAAGTCCGCTTCATCAATTCGCGCGACTATTCACGTCAAAGCCGCCGCCGCCCTCACGATTATCACCAAGTCGAGCATGACTGCTTCTCATCTATTTTTCATTTTGAAAAGAAGTGGATCTAATCTGCCTCGAGTCTTAAATGTCTCCCGGGGCTCCTGCCAAGTCGAGACCTCCAGGGGTTGGCTTCCCAAAGAGGCGCTCTTACATCAGACTTATTGCCCCGCCTTACGCCAATCAATCCCATTCTACATGAAGACATCTTGTCATTTAACTCTGAAAGTGGCACGGTTGAATTATTTGTGAAAACAGAGCTGTCTAAAATCTAAATCTTAGAGTTTGGGTCTGTCTGTGTAAAACGCTGTAAGCCATGTTTTATTTATCATCGAGACAAAATGATGTTTATTTTTCCAGGCAGGAGACAAGAATATATTGTCTTACAAATATATTTTTGATGTTTATTTGTGGGACCAAACAGAAGAATAAGGAACACTTTTTTTTTCTTAAATTGGGGAAGCCAAGTTTGCTATTTATATTCAGTCGACGAGAAAACATCACTCTTGCCCTAACTTGAACATTGTGGTCTTGTTGAAGTGTAGCGTGAAGGCTAAGGTGACACTCAAGTTTGGCTTCAACAAGACCACAGGGGACTTGGAAGACATTTTTTTTTTTAGATGTGGAGTTTGGAAGACATTTTATGTGATGTGTTCCGACAAAATGAGTTGAAGGTGAGTGGTATTTTTAGATTGGCCATTTTGTTGCAATTTCGATTGTGTTTTTTTTGTTTGTTTTTTTAAATAAAGTGTGTTTCTCATCCCTCATTGCATCATCCCTTGAACACCTCATATCTAACCATAGACTGAATAGGGAAAAAAAACCTGTGACCCTGTATTGTGTTTTGAGGACCCGCATACAATATTCGTATATTATTTATTGAACCACAAAAACATGGCATGATTGTCAAGGAAGAAGCGGATTGCCACAAAGACAAGAAACGGGCAAGATTAAAGGAAGGGAGTTTGGCTATCTTCAGTGACTGTTGGGAATGACTGACGATATTCACTCCATTTTGGAGACAGAGACTCTCCGCGCTTTGCATTCTAGCAACAGGTCAGGTACGTACAAAATCGCGACAGTTGACTTTCATTTTAAAACACAATATACAGTCCAGTAAAATGGATTAATTGGCTGGCCCATATTAGCTGTTTGAAAATCCGCCAGTTTTTTTTTTTTTTGGGGGGGGGCAATATTTTTATTTCTTTATTATTATTACACATTACAATATTAAACTACATTTTTTTGAGGGATGAAATTTCATGTGCATTTTTGATTTCCCTGTTCCATCTGCGACATTGCAACACCGCTCAGCGGCGATTCTAAGTTTGAACTGTGGAATAACGAGTGGCTAAGGTTCCGCCATTCATGAAAACTATCGCCAAACTCCACCCACCAGCGGTGCCACAGTCGGTTTCACTCACGCGCCAGCTCAAAAATCATCAATGCTTTTCTTCACAGACCCATGCCTGAATTCCGACATACAAGACACATTGAGGGCAAACAAGCAAAACAGGATTTTTCCCAGGAACCATCCAAGAAAAAAAAAATGGAAACAAGGGCAGCAATACAGAGGTCAAATAATGAGGAAGCAGAGCAAGCAGATAGGTGTCTTGACCGTCTTCCAGCTTTCCAAGATGTCAACCACATTACCAATCACTATAACATCCGCCCACGAGTCACACTCTGACATGACACAAAACACAGCTCACAACTTCTCAGAACAGGACATCATGTCCCGGAAATCAATATTTGTGCGTAATCAGTAATCACACGTGAAAAAAAATTAAAAGAGTTAAACAATAACAGGAAGTAGCCCATTCACCGGCTGTGGACATCTGCAGGCTACCTTGGTTGTGTTTATACAAGGCTTTAATACACCCTTTTCTTGGGCGTGTGGGGTCGTGGGGTCAAAGATGAAGACATCAGATTAGCGGTTTGATGAAAGTTGCGCTTTCCAGCCAGCTGCCGAATCAGAAATGGTCACAGGCATAATAAGTAAGCTCTTTGAGGATATTGGAGGGCAGTGTAACAGGAATACTTTCAGCAGATGGAAAAAAAAATCCCCAAAAGGGATTTGGCAAGACGTGGGAGTTCAGAGTGCAGGAAAATGATTATCATGACAACTCAGATACGTCTTGGCCAAATAATGTGAGCTTAAGCAGGCCAAAGCACTGTCCAAAAATGATTTTTTCCTATACTGACACCATCCAAGAAAGGGAGCGGACATTGATAAAATTGATTTTTCCCTCATCATCCAAAGCATGCTAATCACGATCACATATAGAGGAGTAAAAAAATGTATGCTGCAACTTTTCAACCAGCAAAAACTTTTTGGGTCAAACACAGCCACTTACTACCTGCCTTTAAATGTTTCAAACTCAGTCCCCCAAAGCCAAACGACTGCACACAATGTCCCTTGGAGCCTTTTCTCCAACTCCGTCGCACCACTGTCATCTCGGATCCCCCCCTCCCGCACCCCACACCCCCTCCCCACACGCGCACACAAACAAACACAATCGTGGCACGTCCACGCATACGCGGAAAATCTCATCATACACGTCGGTTAAAAAAAATAGGCATGAAAATCTCACTCACCAGCTTTGCAGGGATCCTTGTAGTCGATCACATCTGATGTGGCAGCGGGCTCCACGAAGTAGCTGGGGTCGATCGCCTCCAAATCGAGTGCCAGTATCACGGCGAGGCAGGGAAGGAGAAACAAACATCTCGCCACGAGATCCATGATTGTGCTGGGGGAGACGGCCAAATGCGAGGGGTAAAGGTAAAGGAAGAGGGGACAGCGAGCGAGAGAGCGAGGGAGAGAGAGAGAGAGAGAGAGAGAGAGAGGGAGAGAGAGAGAGAGAGAGAGAGAGAGAGAGAGAGAGAGAGAGAAATAGGAGGTTTGGGGGGGGAAACGAGATCCCTCTGGAGGGCGGGTTTTAAATCCAACCTCTCTCCGGTGTCTTCTTGGTTGGGGAGGGGGGTGATTCAAGTGATTGCTGTCCTCTACCTGAAGCTCCAGGCGACTGCCGAGAAGTGATTGAGAAACTTTGATGATATGGAAACAGCTCCTGGGGGGCGGCGAAAAGACACTTTATTTTATTACCTGGCTGCATTTTTATGGATCTTGTACGCTTTACTGACCATAATTTGTATTGTGAGTGATTTTTTTTTTTGAGAGAATCATTTCCACAAATGAGTGAGCTAGCACAAGCAACCCTTCTCCGAGCTAGCCTGCTTTTAGCAGCGAGTAAAAGTTGCTCGGACGTTCACTGTTTGATATTCGCACTTACAATCTGAGTTAGGGACAGTCAACAAATTATGTGTTCTACGGAGACATATGTGGGACAAATCACCCTCAATCTAAATGTTTGTAGTGTCATGGCAGTCGAAGCGGGATAATGGTAGACCACTTACTATAGGCTAAAATGTGCTCCTGTCACCCATTATACGGAAATAAAAGACAAAGAAGTCAACGTAATAGTCATAAATTGTTAGAGACCGTCAACACATTACGTGTTCTACGGTGACGTGGGACAAATCACCCTAAATCCAAATGTAGTGTAACGTGGTAGTAGCGGGAAATGGTTGACCACTTACCTGAATGCTGAAATAAGAGGCATTGGAGTAACAGTAATAGTCATAAATTGACAATATATAAACACTAATAGTAAACAAAAATGAGTTGATTTACATTTCCCCATTCTGATTGCTGTAGTAGACGGCAAAGATAGTCCTCTAACTACTGCTCTTCAAACTTTTATCATAAATGTAATTCTGGAGAGGTGGGAGAAAAAAAATCAAGTAAAACACATTTTCTTATTCTGATAGCTGTAGTACATGGCAAAAGGAGGCCAGAAATTACAAATTAAACAACACGAAAAGGTACAATCTGTGTTTTAACGTTAACTGAAGTAAACACGGTTGATTTATTGCGGTTGTTTGTTAGATTTAGCTCCGTTGACCACTTTTATTCGGCGCACAAGAAAAACGTGGAACGCTGACGTACACGTGTACGCACAAGCAAAACACACAGAAAAACAGTTGTTGAGGGGCACGTCTGTACCGCCACCTGCCGGCAATATAGAACCTCGGCAGAGAAATATACAGACAACATTCTAAATTGACTTAGGAAGGAAGAAAGGAATGAGAGGATGGAGGCAACGAAACCACGACAATATGAATGGAAGGAAGGAATTCCTCTCCCCCTTCCGCCCAAAAAGGAAGAATGTGAAACCCTAATTACAAACCCTAACTCAGACTAGCCCTGATTTACAACTCTGACCGTAAATCTATCTGTCCATCCATCCCTCCATCCGACGGGTACTGAAAGCCCCTATCCCACTAAGAGGCGAATAATTGCAACTGTTGGCGAAAGTAGCAAAATGTACGATCATGTCAGTTTGTCAGGTTCGCTCAAGGTCCGAAAAGCGTTTGCCAGACGTCCGCCAGAATTTTGAGTGATTTTTCTTGTCGCAAGGGAATTTTGAACTTGCTGACCTAAGTCATACTCGTCAGTAGTTGGCGCTATACTGCGGCAGTTTGATAAACATGGTTGAATCATCAGCTGTGTTAATGATGAATGAATTTTGTATTTTATTTTATATTTAGTTTTCAAAAGTACTAGAAGGTATCAGTATGCTCTATCAGTGAGTACTAAAATAGTGAAGACTCGTACTGGTTTCGGCCTGAAAAAAGTGGTATCAAACATCCCTACTATCAATCGTTAGATCATCCTATTGTATGTTTTGTAGGTACTGTAGTTGCTTTGTAAAACCAGAGCAGGGTCAGCAACACAGTATACTTTTGTGTGTAGGCCTCTATAGGATTAAACTACAACCGAAAACAAAGATGCTTTCAGTAATAAGAGGCTTGAGAGGCAACTGCCAGCAGGTTTGCCAGCAGTGACAAACAAAGCGTGCTTTATATAAGAGGGAAGGCACACAATCTTCCTGGCCTTATCTGCGTGCAGAATTTAAGACAGGATGTCTACTCAGATGAGTGGGCTGTATTTATGCTGCTGCTGTAAACACGCCACTTGTGCATTAGATCAGGCTTTCGGGGAGCTTGAGAGAAAAACACACGGGATGGCTTATGTAGAATGGAAAATAGCAGGGCAAATTGGCGGGGGTGAGGGGGATTTTTTACTGAACAGCACAAAAACTTGTAGTGTACACATGGGACATTTGGTGTTAAAGAGAATCAGCATTAAAGACATGGTAGTCATCAATGAACGTAAACATATATTTGGAATGTTGGTGTCCGTGTTGCCACCAGACACAAATATGCTCCTGCTATCACATGGAGAAAAAAAAAAATCCTGCGCACACAAGCAACATTAGTTTCTACCGCAGTCACTCCTGTAAATGTGACAGGCGTTAATTGTGATTAAAATTTCAGTCAACGTAAATGTCCACTTGTACAGTCATGATGTTCCTTGGAAGCTCAAGTGAAGTTATCGGCAGACGAACGCTTGTTGAAAGAGGGCTGCAGTAGGTCGGGGCCCCTGAAGTATGCCGGTCCCGTTTGGCTTCTGAGCTCACTTGTAGGGAGGAGCCGCAAAAAAAAACTTGATTACTGCAAGAAAAAAAGTCAGAGATATGAATTTAAATCATCACACATGATGCAGCAATACTGTGGGTATTTTCTATTTTTATTTTTTAAAGCAAATCAATCCCAGTGCCTATTGTTTAAAGCATTACTAAAGGGTCTAGAGAGCATTTTTAGAAAAGTCCCTCTAAAGTTTTATTTGTATTTAGAAATGTAGGGCAAATCAAATGTTGCCATCCATGCTGAAAACATTTTTTGTATCCACATCATTCAAAAAGCTCCCGAGCTGCAGCTCGAAACAGGCTCAGATAAGATTGAGCAGAAGCCATTATGCCACTTATAATTGTCTTTTTTTTTTAACTCACAATTGCACAACGGGAGACAATGAAAAAGGGCAATTACACTTGCACTTATCTGGATGTTCTAAAGTACACATTTTGTCTTTGCCGGTGAAAAATAGCAACACTCACTTTGTCATCTGTCGAGGCCTGTCTACATTCAACCTCCCGTCCATCCATTTTCTAGCGCACTTGTCCTCATTAGGGTCATCTGCGTTTGGTCAAGAGGCGGGGTACACACTGGACCGATATAGACAAACCACCAACCACATTCACACCAACGGACAATTTAGAGTCTTGGTTGAATCTAAACTGAAAAGTCTGGGACAGGGACCTCTACCTGAAAGGGTCGAAAGGGAGGAGCTGTGTCAACAGTTAGTTTTATCGCGGCGCGTAAAGTGACACGAGTCGCCTTCGTGGCGTTCTTGAAAGCCTCCCCGCAACCTTATACTTTTGAAGACAATCATCAAACGAGACGCACCTGGGTCTCACTGTTCTGAGCGGGCGTCACCTCAGCAGCTTGGCTGAGCGATCCCACTCTGCTTGCGGGTTGCGCTCCTCGAAGCATCACTGTTATGGACGTGGGGGCTTTCTGCCCTAATGACAAGACACAATAAAATAAGGCTCAGCACGACACGCGATAGAAAATGCAGGCCAATAAGAGGACGTGAATGGTCTTACTGTTCCATGCAAGTCAAACTGGCAGCTTGACAAAGAAATGAGAATTACAGCAAATGCGTCAGGTTTAGTTTAGGGGAGGGGGTGGGATGGCAAATGCAGTTGAAACTGAAGACAAAAGTGGGGGGGGAAAAAACAGAAGCATTTAACAGCCAGTATGATTCCAGTTTTTATTGCAACAGGGACAGAGGTTGTGTCATGTCAATACATGTCAGCATTTGTGGCATTTATGGACATTACATGCGGGTGATTGAATGGAGCGTTTACAAAACAGAGTATGGCATGACGAAACAAATAAACATAAAATGACCGCTTCAACACTTGGGACAAAGGCTAGTCTTTCAAACACCAAAAATAGCTGACCAACTTGACACACACAATTATTTTCTGTCATACAGCTTCATATATTGATACGAGCGCCCTAAACGGGGCACGGAAAACAAACACTGCAAAGTGAAAACCTTTTTCGCCCTGACTTTTCGAAAGGTGTCGCAGTACAAATTCTATTGTACTCCTAGTCTGTCCCCAGATGCTGTCTTGGTCATCAGAGCTGCCCTCTTACACAAGCATCCTTGCTCAGCGCGTTGGATGAACACCGCTGCCATTCAGCGTGGCCGTCGCCCTTTGGCAGTTCGAGACATACCGGCGGTCTGGTTGGTGATGTGGGCCAAGCCGGGCAAACTGCTGGCAAGCTTGGCCAGTCCGCCATTTGTGAGCAGTTGGTGGATTGCGTTGGTTTTGGCCACGCCCCCCGCGGTGACCACGGGCACTGCGCGGAGTAGAGTGCTGCTATTGGTGGTGGTGGAGACGGCGCTCAGGACCTGACCTTGCGGCTTGCCACAGAACGTCTGGAGAATAGCAGGCAATGTTGCTAAATGTCCGAATTTTTTACTTCCACAAACCTCAAAAAGGTGCAATGATTAACCGAGAGCGAATCGATCACCAAATTAATCAATAAATATTTTGATAAATGAGTCATCGTTTTAAGACCTTGTATAAGACCTTATTTTCGATCTTTGCTAGGGGTACCATCATTTCTGCCCATTCCTGTTTCACTTTGCTTGTTTTTGTAAATAATTCTGTTGAATCAGAATTCCAAAGTAATGTCTGATTTTCATTGGTAAGTTTTGGTTTGTTATTGCTCGTCGTATTTTTATTATTATGGTTTAGTTCTTTCATTCAGAGGGATGATGACAATTTCTTTGTCCATGTGTGTACCAATAACACGACCCCACATCATCACCCACTTAACGACAAGAGGTCATTTTTCATTCCAATGG